GCGACACTGACCTGCGACGCAGCAGAGAACAGCAGAGGCCCACAGCCGGTGCAGCAGCGGACTCTGAACACAGGTCTGGTTAAAGTTTAACTTCGGGGAGTCCTGCGGCTCTAGGATTCCCTCTGCCAGCTCCGTCCTAGCAAAGGAACACAAGAGTTATTTCAAAATGCAACGATTTACTGACCAGTGCTGGGAGGTGATTAAGAGCACTAGGAAGTACGACAGAAACACGAGCTGGAGCTGTTGCAAGAGGAGCACTTGCTGCAGAGAAACTGCACCGGGGGTTTCTGGACAAACTCTCCTCCCAAGTGACACTTTCGGTTGGCTTCGATTACCGTCGCTTCTGAAAGGGCCTCAGTGTTTCAAAACACCATCCAGCAGCCCGAGCCAACAGCTCCTCACTCAGCAGACACGGATTAAACGCGTCCGAGAGCGGTCACCAAGGTACAAGAGGAGCGCAACGAACGGGCTGCAGCGAGAGAATCAGATTTCCCTCTTGATCGACGAAGCCTCGCTGCCCGAGCGAAGCGGGACACAGCAGGAGAGCCAGCCGGGAGCCCCAGTTTCGCGCAGCGTAGCGGGAGAGCGGGGATTTGCTGGGTTCCTGTGGCCTGCAGCACACACAGGGGCTCACGGCTGTAAGCAGAGGCTCTGACATGGGCTGCTGGCGATATGCTCTGGCTGATTTACTCTCTACAGGCAGGCTCCAGGCAAAAACACTCCTGGAAGTCCTCTGGGCAGCAGAGTCCAAGCTAGCAGCCTCGCAGCAGCCACGGAAACCAACACCCGTAAAAACGCAGCCACCGAGCTGCCTTGTCAAGGAAGGGCAGCCCGACGCAGCTGGTGACGACGGTCAGAAACGCTGACCCCCACGCTCGGTCCTCCCCTCTGTGCAGCCTCTGCCGGGGAAGGAGGCGATGCCATGCCAGTGGCCCCCTGGCATGGAGCACGCCAGCCTCCTGGGCAGACAGCCCGACCTCCTGCCAAGAGGCCAGGGACAGGCTTGCTCCAGCGCCCTGGGAACCACACTACGGAGCTGGAGAAGGCCTCCCGTGCGCAAGGGCCAGTGCATCTGGCCATGCCCCCGGGGAGACACTGCCCACGGAGCATTTCTGGGTGCCAAGACTTCTCCCTCTTGAGCTGGAGCGCAGCACACGAGGCAGAGACAGGAGGCCATGGTGGCATCTCTGCGCTTGTCCTCAGCGAAAGCAGCGTGAGGGAGGGCAGCAGAGGCATTGCCTGCGGCCCGAGCACCAGCATGCTGCTCGCAGCGGGGCGTGCAGGGTGCAGGCAAGCTGGGAGCAGGGGCCAGGGAGAGGGCCAGGAGCGGCCGGGTACTAACCTCTCGAAGATCTCCTGCTCTGCATGCTGGGGACAAGGAGAGAAAGCGTCATCACAGCTGAAATCCCACCGATAAAATCCCAAACACGGCAAAGCTGGGACCCAGGGAGCACTGATCTCCCTCCCGACCCAGGGAAACCACTCCTCACCCCGACACTAGCCCTGGGGAGCAGGAGGAGTGTCCAGCACCCATTTTCATCAGCTGCATCACTTTCCACTCCCTGACTTAGAAAATGAGTGGGAATGGCTGAAGGCGATTCATCTTCCACATCTAGCTAGGGGTAATGTCTGCTGCACCAGCAGGACAGGGTGCCTGGGTGACAAACAGCTCGAGAAGGGCATGGGAGCATCCAGACTGCTGCATGTGCAAGCAGTGTCAGAGCAGGAGACCGCACGTGCAGCTGGATCGTCTGCCACGAGGGAAACGTGGGAGAGCCGAGGCAGGCGGAAAGCCTTGAACCCACAAAGAACCAGCCCCGACTCCGCACCCTGTAGCAGACACCAGCCTGTCTGCATCTGGGAGCTCTTACTGCGGCACCCTACCTTGCGCAGAGCGTGAAAATCCCAGCCCTGAGGTCTCCCCTCAACCCCCACGCCGCTGGGACGCGCAGCAAGAACATCCTGGGCTTGCAGCAAACCCCCACAGCTTTCAGTCAGGGGTGAAGCTGCAGAGGACCCGAGCCAGGAATCGGGTAACTCTGTGGTCAGTCCCACTTGTTTCTGTACCCGCTGGCAATGGTGCGTTCGCAAGGCACAGCCCAATGCGCAAAGCGGTAGGGAAATATCTGAACCCCGCTCAAATGTGAGCTGCAGGGTGCTCTCTGCGCCTTTCACTTTCCTGTGACGTGGCGCGTAGCGATTCCCCACAGACAGCAACACCAACGATCCGAGGTGGAGAACCCACCATCCCTCTTTCCCCTCCACTACGTGGCAAAAGGAGAAATGGAGGGTCTTGCTGTTTTCTGCCACAGGCACAGAATCCCAGAATGTTCGGGGTTGGCAGGGCCCTCTGGGGATCCCCCAGTCCAATCCCCTGCCCAAGCAGGGTCACCCAGAGCAGGCTGCACAGCACCGCGGCCAGGCGGGGCTGGAATATCTCCAGAGAAGGATCTTGCTTTCCAACCTCTGCCCTGTGCAGCGAGGCCACAGCCAAGCAGCCACGACGCTGGGGCAGGACAGGAGCTGCGCTGCCCGCCGAAGGAGCAGCCGTCTACCTTCTGCCCGGGGGATCGGTCCTGTTTTCCCAGCAGAGCTCCTGTCCCCCCTCTCCACAGAGTTACAGTGGGCAAGCAGAGGCTGAGAGCAAGGCGGTGCGAACCCACCCGCTCGCGTCTACAGCGAGAGGAGTCGCTTGGGTAAACCGAGACGATTTAACAGCCAGGAAAGGAACTGAGCACGGTCGATATCGCAAACAGGTATGCCAGACACGGGGCAGGCTTTCAAGCAGAGCTGCAGGAGCTCCCAAGGGTCACGTTTTGATTAAAACTAGACAGAACCCTAGAAACCTCGTGGCCCAACCGACTGCTGGAAGAGCAGCTCTCAGCCCACAGCTGCCCTGAGCTGGCAGCTCCAAGCCAAGAGCTTGGAGATCCGAGCCTGGGCAGTTCGGAGCCTCACTGCCCGCACAAGCAGAATGGGGCAGAGCAGACGCTCTAGGAACCACCAAGAATCCTTGGGGGCTTGTCAGCTCCAGGGGAAGGAGGTTCCCTGAGCTAGACCTTCCAACGTCAGTCCTGTCCAACTCTGCCTCCTCGCTGCCAGCTGCAGAACACCGTATTTAGGTCCTATAACGTCCACAACAAAAGGTCTAGGTCGCTTCTGGGCTGACCACCCCGTCCCTCAGTGCAAGGAGCAGTACTCACCAGCAGGCCCTGGTCATCCAGGTTGGTGATCACCTCTACCAGGTAGGTTCGGAGGGCAGCCAGCTTCTGCAGAGCCTCAGTCCAGTGCACCTGCTGGGTCAGGATGCTCTGGTGGGCCCGCTCCTCCTCCGCGTGCACCTTCTCCAGCAGCCGCTGCTCTTCGTTTTCGCACGCGTTCCCCACGAAGATCAGCCTCTGGATCACCAGCTCCCGCGCCGCGTTGGCTGCGTTCTGCCAGCGTAAGGAGAGAGGAGAAATGTCAGCCTTGCTTCAGCCTCAGCGAGAGCACCAACCGCTTCTGCGGGCTTTCTGCGGGCTCAGCTGCGAAGATTACTCTGTTAATCGAGCCCAAGCCGCGGTAACCGTCACGATGCAAGCAGAGATAAAAGGGACAACCAGTCCCAAACCTGCCTCCTGGCCTAACCCTGGCAGCTCAGTGACAGCCTGCCAGGGACAGCGGTCCCATCCCTCCGCAGATCTTCCAGCCTTCGCCGTCAGCGACAAAGAGAGCGCCCATGAGAGCTGCCTTTGTGGCGACAGCAAGGCACAAATCAAAAAACATCAGGAACTGTTAAGCCTGGTGCTAGCGGGTCGCTCAACGGCTGCACACTAACACCAAGAATCCCGTCGCTGGTGTGGATTTTTCAGGTATTTTTCTCCACTTGCACAAGGTGCCGGGTGGGAGGGGGAGACCCCCGGCACACCGACGAGCCCCCCGAGAGCTCAGCAGCTCTGGCGAGCAGGGGGGCCCACGGGGCCTCGCCGCGCCGGGAGAAGGGGCAGGGACCTACCAGGACACCCCGGTCCTTGGCGGGGAGCCCCTCGCCCCCGTGCCCGGCGATGGCAGCGC